AAAACACTTCAAGGACGTGGACCAAGCCAAGTCGGGGCAGCCTTTGGCGCAGCAGCAGGCGGCACAGAGAGAAGCCCCGCTGTCGTTATGAACCTCGGGGTTGCTCGTCCCCCCCACCTCTCCCTCCCCACCTGTACCCCCCCTGCCCCGTTCCCCCAACCCCAACCCACCATGCCCCCCTCCCCCCTGCCCTCCAACACCTGCCCAAACGGACAACCACGACTTCGTCCACTCTACCCATGGCCACTCGGCTCTGTCCGAGGTGATGGGGCGATTTAATAAAACAAGCATCAACTGGGATCTCTTAATCGCAGCCCCGCTCCCCCGGTCGCCCCCCCCCCCCCCGGTCGTGCCCCCCCCCCCCCCACTCCTCTCAGAGAGGTCCCAGAAGAATGAAATAAGTATAAATTAATCCAACATCAGAATAATTACGTTCCAACTTTCCAAATTCCCAAACGTTATGTTTTACAATAAAAATATTCCTCGTTCTTTTTTTTCTCCCCACCCCCCACCCCACCCCACCCCTGTCTTGTTTTTGAATTCTGTTACACTCTTGGCCTTTGATTTGGACAAATTGAGTGCTAGAATTTTCCGTCCCGTCACGTGAGATATGTCGGTCTTCCAAGTCTGATGGCCCCGAGTTGGTGTCGACGCGGACCGCTGTTTTTGTAAATGCCGTCCTCTCGTCTTACCAACTCGATTGGAAATCAGTGTCCCCTGTGGTTTGTCCTCTGTTGAATTCCTCGCAGTGTCGAAATCTAAAACTCGCGAGGAGCGTTTCCTTACACGGCCCACAGGTCCACGCCGAACGCGCTACGCGCAAATTAAATTGTCCTCGGTGGCGATTTCTATTTATGAGCGCGTAATAAAAAAAAATGTATTTTCAATTTTTTTTTCAGTGGGGCTTGGGGGGCGGGGGAAGCGTGGGAGGAGCTGGGGGGGGAGGGCTTTGTGGGGAACAAGTGTACGTCTTGCAGAAATGCCACATTCAGAGTCGGCTCGTGTATTTAATTTAACCCATGAAATGTACTCATTTTAACACTTTGTAATTTTCATTGCCAGTGGACAGATTTAATTGTAAATTATGCATCGGCGGCACACAACAGGACCCGTTCCGAGGAAGCCGGTCTCGGTGAGTGTGGCATCTCCGTGACTCGTCGGTCGGATCATCGATCCGACGATCAAGCCCCCTGGTTTTTGGGGGCTATAGAAAGTGAGAGAAAACAAAATGACGTGAGAAAATATAAAAAATAGAAGACTGACGGAAAAGAAAACCCAACAAATGACGTCTGAGAGCGCGAGTCTTTTGCTGTCGCGCCAGCTCAATTAAATCCAGGGTTAGTCGGCGAATATGTTTGGCGTGTCGTTAACGGAGTCTTAAACGAATGCTCGTTAGAGAACGCCTCTTCCAGAGCACCGCCAGCCGCGCCTGTACCGCCGCCGCTCCCCGGGGTAAAAGTTGCCGACGGCCTGAGAGGGCGCCAGCGCTCCTGGGCAGGTTTTGCTGGAATATTGGGAACGACGGATGGTCGTTGACGGTGCGGAGCGAACGGAGCGTGCGCGCGACCCGCGTTACGGACGGACTGTAGCGCCCGCGCCGCTCGCCACTCCCTCCCTGCCCCCCCCCCCCCCAAACCCCCCTCTCTCCGCACCAACCAACCCACACCAACTCCTCAACTTCCAAGCTCTCCCCTCCGCCGCCTTCCCCCCCCACCCACCCACACCCTCAATATGGAAAGATTTCGGTTTATAAATTAAAGATGAGTCTTATAAACGGCTGCTGTTTGTGTGTGTGCACTTCGGTGTCCTGGCCAGCGTTGGAATGTGACGGGCCCGCTCAGGTTTTTGTATGTTCGACGACGCGCAATTTGGTTGTGCCGGGGTTCCTTTGCGGGAGAGTGGGTGACCATAATAGTTTCACCTTCCACCCTCCTTCCCTCCCCGAACCCAAACTCCAGGGTAAATTTTCATTCCGATTTAAAGATCTGTTCCGCTTTTTAACCTCCGGCGGAGGACGTAGCAGTTGCCAGCTGGTGCGGGAGTTCACGTGAACCCGTTACACAATACGTCGTTGGCCTGTTTACAAATTCGTCGTCGTCAGTCAACCCAGGGTGGTGACGTGGCCGAGCAGCAGCGTGTTCTCGCCGCTTGTTGCAGGGGTCTGCGGTTCGAACCCCACGGCTGCCCTGGTTAATGCTGCATTTATACAGACAGCAAAAACCGCGCGCTGCCTCCTTTACAGTGGAAGTTTAAAAATATCCCACGAAATTGAAAAAAAATCGTTACAAGGGGCCTGGCAGCACGATCAAAATTTGCCGCACTTAGAAAAAAATACATTTCCTGCTGGCAGACCGCACATTTGCAGGCCCTTGCTGCGTACGCCGTGCCGCACAGACGGCTGCTACGAGGGCTCCCCTGGGCTAGACTGCATGCAGCAGGGCATTGGAATGGTTGAGAAGTGATGTTTTGCGAGGCGCTTTCTAAGTTGCCGAGACATTGAAGCAAGAGGCACTGTACTATGCAAATCCTCATCTTCCGTACAACGTAAAAATGTTGATGTACAAATCGATGTTTTTCTTTTATGCGACCAATTTGGGTGCCTGTATCGTGAGCAGAGGGAGGGGGCTGGCTCTATCATGTGGCTATTCCAGACCCCGTAATAGGAATGTCTTTGAAATGTGTTTTGCTTTTTTTTTCCTTGCATTCCCATCATTTCACGAGATGAAGGATCCATTCGGAAATATCCCAGAGCCCTGTGTTGGAGAAATTGATTCCTATCGGGCTCCGTGGTGTGAAGTGCTGTCTCCAACTCTAAATTATATCCGATGAAAAAAGAATCTTGCTTTAAGCTTTCCAGCTAAATTCTAATCTTTTTTTGCATTTTTATATCGGCAAAAAAGATCCCACAGATAGAACTGCTCAACCCTAGCTTTTGATACTTTGATATTTGCATTTGCGCTGTTTACCTTTTGGCGTTGTTCGCTGACTGGTGGTGAGACAGGGCTATGAAGTGGGATGCCTCTGGTTTAGGCCAATCAGTTTGAGATGTTGAAACACCCAACTGAAATCTTTTACAAGGAATCGTGTCTGCATTAACCACAATGCTTGTGGTCAGAAAGCAAACAAAAACACTGAATATATGCATTGTCTTGGTTCTTTCGGTAAAGTCACGTAGAAGGGAAATAATTAAAGAACCAAGAAGATGAATCCCTACAGTCACGAATGTTTTAGATCGAAATATATGCGTTCTCTTTGAAACCAATAAATGTCAAAGACAATGCATATAATATAATGTTTTACCACTGTCATTTGGTTAATGCAGATTTGATGCCGTGCAATAGGTGTCTATTTGGTGTTTTAACGTCTTAACACCGATGTATTGAAATTTTAAAGCCACCGTGTAATTGAGGAATGCGTTTAGGTTTTTTTGTTTGTAATGCGTTGCTTGTGCAGCATTTTCAAATAATTTGTGTTGGAGATTGGCAGAGGGTTTTCACAACGCTCCTCCCAATACTTTACTATCTTACCTACGACTACAAGGCAGGCCCCTGAGATGCGAACGTCCGACTTACGAACATCTGCACTTACGAACGAACTTTCCACTTTATTTTTAATCATCCATACTTATGAACCGAACCGCGGAAATGTTTTGTTCAGCAGAGCAATCCGCAAGCCAGAAATCAGGATCCAAGACAATGATGAAATTGGTTTGTTTATTTTCATGTCACGTCATTTTATGCTATAATTACTATACAGTTTTTATTACAGCATTACATGCAAATGTACAATATTTCTTATGAGTTTAAAATAATGCTTCTCGTTTTCGTTGAACGATAACATTTTGCAACACAGACCTGTGTGTACAATTAAATATTGCGTTCTGAGATACGAACAAATCGACTTGCGAATAGGTCTCCGGAACGTAACCCATTCGTAAGTCGAGGACTGCCTGTACTTTACCAAGTAAAGTCCACTGAGTTATCACGTTTTCAGAGGCGACCTGGCCACGCCTAATGACAGCTCATTGAAGTGGCTGATATCATCATCATCACGTGATTTATAGCCGCAGCCCAAAAAAACCTTAACTCTTGTTTGGAAATGTAGAGGTCAAAACCGGAGGACAATACGCACGACCACGAGGAGCGAGAACACGCGGACTTTAAATATACGGCACAGGTGTTGTGAGGCTCTGGGATCGAATAACGACCTCTCCTGTATTCCAGGCGGGCGAGATAACGTCTCGCCATCTGGCCGTCCCGTTAAGTCCTGCAAAGTGACCTTTTAATTATGTACACAGCAAGGGGCGCGGTTTCCCACTGTCATAAGTGTGTATCGTGTGTCAATGAAACCCATATTTGAGAACTCAAATATGAGAACTCAAATATGGGTTTCATTGCAGGTGGCTGAAACCCAGATTCGAATCCAGGATGTAAAACGTTGTCGTCGGCTTGTTACGCTGTTGATGGCGGTGGTGGTAATGAAGGTCATTGTTATTATGGTGATGGTGGTGATGGTAACCCTGGTCTGGTTTGAAACTCGTCATCTCACGACTGCGTGGATCTCTGCTCCTAAACTGACCACATGTCAAAAACAATTTTCTGTCAATCCACACCGACCTTCGCAGTGAAGTATGGTCAATCAAGCCCCATGTCCGACACGGTGGTCATCCAGCAGAGGATTCACACAGTGCTTTAAGTCGTTATTGCGCTACCTTACCACCCCGATGCATCCCAACTAGCAACCCAGCACTCGCCAACACAAGCCCCACCATACATCCAACAGGAAAATAAAAAAAAAACAGATCCCCGGTATAGCCTTTGCAGAATTTTTGGGAAAGTGCTGTTAGCGAGCACCTATGAAGGCCGGTATAGCAGAGAAATGGGTGGGTGGCCAACACCACGCCCGGCCGCCTTTGTCTTCCTAGAGGCGATGTTTTCACATCGCACCAGGTTAGGGTAATCGTCGCTGGGAGTTGGTGGCCGTGAGCTGAGGATCGAACTCGGCTCTCTGGCGGGTTCGTAACGCAGCGCCGTCCCCCACCAAACAAAGACAAAAGATCCCCGTGTAGCCTGTAGCAGACTTGGGGCAAGTGCTGTTAGCGAGCACCGGCACATGAGGAGGGGGCAGGAGACCAGCACCACTCCAAGGCCGCCTTTGTCTCCCTAGCGGCGATGTTTACTACACACACGCACCAGGTACTCATTTGAGGCTGAGCCGATCTAAGGGAGGCCCAGAACCGGTTCAGATAAATCGTCACTGTGTGCTGATGGCCGTGAACGGGAATCGAACCCAGGTCGCCGAGTTCGTAGCGCAGCGTGCTAACCGCTACACTATCGCTCCCCTACTGCATACAGCACACCTCACTAGCCACGTTAACAAACTCACTTCGGTTTAACACGGACTTGTAGGCTTTCACGGCCAATGTTATCCATAATAAGAGGGTTTTTTTCTGGGTTCGATCGCGTAAGTATAAATGTGTCGTTAAACCCGCCACCACCCGACCCAGCTCTGGCTGCCCGGCTGATGCCAGTTGGAAATACTGGCGAAACGTCGTACTCGAATAGTACATGTTGTGGGTCTTACTCGTCACGTATTGGCACGGATTTGTTTACGTGACAAAACCTTCCACCATGTAGTTTGGGTCTTTCGGTAAAGTCACGTGGATAGGTTCAAAGAAAATAACAAAAAAACCACGACGTTTCGATCGCAACACAAGCGGTCGTCATCAGGAAAAGGGGGTTCGCCTCTGAAGGCAAGACTACGATCAAACTTAGTAGTTTTTTTCCCTATTTTCTTTGAACCTATCTTCGTGACTTTACCGAAAGACCCAAATAATTATAAATTCCTGCAGTCACGAAAGCTTTAAGTCGATATTTAAAACCTTACCAATTGGGCCGTGTCGGGTGGTGGCGGGCTTTAACGACACACATTTATAATTTTACGCGAATCTAACTCCCCCTCTGTTACGGAAACTCAACTTAACCCGCAGTTAAACCCCGGAATGCCGAGCACTTCAAACCCAGCCGAGCGCACGCCACCCCATTGCCTCGTGGTGGTCGTCAACCGACCCCGCTCCCCCCCCCCGTCAAACGCGATAGCCAGCCAATGGGGTCCAAGTAACATCACCGGAGCTGGGGGGGGTGGTGTTGAATAAAACCGGCGGGGGTCCCTCGCTGCGTCTCTGCGTGAGCGAGGCGCGGAGCGAGGCGCGGAGATCGAAGGGAGATATCGCGACCTCGTCTCCTGCGTCCCAGGCAGACCACGCCGCAAAAATCACTCGGATAAAACCCAGCACGCAAACAACTAATATCGTCTTTCTCGGGAGTTGTCTTCCGTTATTCACCTGCAGCGCAAACATTAAACAAGCTGCTGCTGCATTGTGGACAAAGATTCCCCGTGTAGTCGTACAGACTGCCGGGGGCTAGCGCAGGAACAGGCGACGGTGTCACCTCGAGAGCTTCAACTCTGGCAACCTCCACCTGAGCGGCCGTCACTCGTGGTACAAAGTAGGGAACAGAAACGTAACGAGACAAAATCACACCTGCTCACCGCGCTTGGTGGCTGGTGGCGGTGGCAGCAGCATCATCAGCAGCAGCAAGCAAGCGGTGACATCCTCGTCCCTGCCAAAGACGATCATTCTCCCGCGTTCGTCCGCTGCCCGTCGAGAGTCGTGGACGGGGACCTCGAAACACTGCGACCAACGATGTACGAGATGGACTCCCTGTCGCCTCCGTCTCCCTCGAGGAGTCTTGTGACGGACGAGGAGGAAGAGGCACCCCTGGGGAGATACCGCAGCCCCTTTGGCGGGACGGCGGTGAGGAAGCGCTCCGGGCTTCGCGGCGACGCGGCCGTGACTCCGGGATGCAAGAAGGGCAAACGAAGCGCCGCTGGCGGTGTCAGCGGATCAATCGGCCATCACCATCAACAGCTGCTGCTGCTACAGACAAACCATCATCAGCTGCCGCAACAGCAGCATCGGCAGGACAGCGACCACCAGCAGCAGCAGCAGCCGCAGCATCATCATCATCAGCAGCAGCAGAATCAAAATGAACCGGAATCGCAAAACCAGCGGTTCGTGGCGAACGTGAGAGAGAGGCAGCGCACGCAGTCGCTCAACGACGCCTTCGCCTCGCTGCGCAAGATCATCCCCACGTTGCCCTCGGACAAGCTGAGCAAGATCCAGACTCTGAAGCTCGCGGCGAGGTACATCGACTTCCTCTACCAAGTGCTGCAGAGCGACGCGGCCGAGGGAAGGGCGCCGGTGCCCAGCTGCAGCTACGCGGCCACGGAGCGCCTCAGCTACGCCTTCTCCGTCTGGAGGATGGAGGGAGCCTGGTCCATGTCAGCGTCGCATTGATGGAGGGTCGTGCTGGTTGGTGGTGGTGAGGAGTGGTGGTGGTGGTGAGCAGTGGTGGTGGTGAGGATTGGTGGTGGTGAGGATTGGTGGTGGTGAGGATTGGCGGTGGTGAGGAGTGGTGGTGGTGAGGATTGGTGGTGGTGAGGATTGGTGGTGGTGAGGATTGGTGGTAGTGGTGGTGAGGATTGGTGGTGGTGAAGATTGGTGTTGGTGAAGATTGGTGGTAGTGGTGGTGGTGAGGATTGGTGGTGATGGTGAGGATTAGTTGTGGTGAGGATTAGTGGTGGTGAAGATTGGTGGTGAGGATTGGTGGTGGTGATAATTGGCGGTGGTGGGGTGGATCGGTGGTGTTGGTGAGGATTGGTGTTGATTGTGAGGATTGCTGAGTGGTGGTGAGGATTGGTGGGTGAGTGGTTACATTGATTTAGGGTGGTGGGTGTGGTAGTGTTGGTTGATGACGGTATTGATGAGTACTGGTGAGGACTGTGCATAGTGAGTGGTGGCGAGGGGTGAGGATGGTGGGTGGTGGTGCTGGTGTTGATCGTGGGAGCCTGTTGAGAACTCCTGCGCGTCGCTTTCTCAATGGAGACCTGGAAGATAGGTTAATCAACTCATCACCATGATCAGCCATGATCCATCTACTGCTGGATGAAGGCCCCCTCGGAACGGCCGCCAACTCTCATGGTCGTGCATTGAAGCGATCCACTTAGGCACCGCACACGAGCTGATTGGATGGGATAATTAATAATAATACCAATAAAATAATAATTGTTAATTGTATGTACGTATACATGTGCACTGCCAGGTCGTGTCTATATTATAACTTCTGGATTGACTGAAGGTCATTGGGTGCATATTGCAATGAGCATTCGCAATGAGGATTTTTTCAGAGTTATTGAATACACTCTGAATCTCAAGATGCTGTCACACTGAACGACAGAGACAGAGAGAGAGAGAATCATTCCGAATTATTCGGAACCTTGAATTTCAGTCTCGGCCACTCGAACCACGGCTTGTCTAGAGGCACAGCCCCGGTTCGTGTTGATCCACTGCTGGATGGAGGCCTCCCCCCACGCTGGGTAGACGGCAATGGGTTCCGAATGGACGTCTGTGAAAAAATAGCTTCGTAAAATTCCTCCAGTATAAATCTTGACTTAAAGCTTTCGTGACTTGCAGGAATTCATATTATTTGGGTCTTTCGGTAAAGTCACGTAGATAGGTTCAACCAAAATAATGATGATGAACACGTTATTTTTTGTTTAATTTTCTTTGAACCCATGTGCGTGACATTACCGAAAGACCCAAAGAATATGAATTCCTGCAGTATAAATAAACGTTTTGATGAAGCATACTTCACCACGCTGGTCAGCGCGCCGTACTGTCCAGAGCAGCTGGAAAACTAATTCGCTGCTTAGCTTCAAGGTTGTGACAAGATGGGGAGCGCTCCGCGGATGTGTGGTCATATTCTCGAAGGGAAGTAGAATTTACGGAACGACAAAGCACCTTGATTTTGATATTAAAATAAATAAATCTAGACGATCGACGATCCAGGACGCACACGCGTTTGATCATATTCCGAACGTCGATTTAAAAAAAAAGAAAACTAAATTCCACTTTTAAACACGTGCCGTGAGGAAAGGTCATTGCCCGAAACGTCGCCGATTATCTACTTTTTTCTTCTTTTAAGACCACACTCGATGCTATTGATGAACATGTTGAATGTTATTGTTGTTTTTTTTAATTGTCATTGTGCAACACTGCCATCGCAGTAGCAGCAGCAGCATCACCAAATAATTTGTTCCAAAGTAAAATAAATATATGCATGCGTGTAAATACAATATATATTAATTGTTAAGCATATATATCCATAATTTGATGGTGATAGCAAATTTACAACTCTTGCCAATCCACTGATGGACGAAGGCTGTCGTGACCATACTTCACCGCGCTGCTAAATGCGAGTTGACGAAGCGGGATGTGAGACCCAGGACTCCGTCAGTCAGATATCACTCGTCGCTGATGTTAGCCGTAGGCTGGGAATCGAACTCAGGCGGGTCGCCTCGTGGGTGGGATCAAGTGTGGGCACTGCCACCTCTGCGGAGACATACTGGCCAGCAGTGGAAGAGTCGGACAGATAACGTCTAGTGGGGACCCCTTCCGCCAGCAGTGAAACGAGCAGGCAAGTTGCAGGGCTGCGCCTTGTATCACTTCAGCTGCCGATGAAATGTTCCTTGTCACGCGCGTGCCTTCGATAATGATCGTGAGAAGTCATCGCGGTCTGAGATTTAATAAACAACTTATTTTTTTTTTTTACTTGTGAATGTTGACAGGAATCGAAATGCTCACGAAAACAAAATATTGCTTTTGTTTTACAAATGTCATCGTGTGTGATTGTGTGTACCACAAACCGCCGAGGTCTCAGCAACGTGTTTGTGTATCATCATTTGCATGCGATTGAGACAATGCAATACGCTTTTATAAATATGTATCGGATTTTAAGTAACCTAACATTCTTTTGAAAGTTCGTGTGCTTTTTGACTCGGGGTATTGCAGCGCGTCAATGAATATCGATTACAAGGCTCACGCTCCGCGCGTGCTCTCGTTTGAAGATATCGATTATTTACGATTTTCACAAAAAAAAAGAGTCCGTGTAGGTTTCACGGTGCGAACACTTAGTACAAAACCAGACAAGCAGAAGAAACGACTAAAATAATCGATTATAGGAAATTATAGGTGGGGAGTGGGACAGTGCATTTGGTTATCGCCAGGGCTTTATTTCAGCGGGCTCGAAAACACCGGCACACCACATCTACCGACTTCCTATTCAGTGAGACATTAAGCTTATCTCCATATATATAATTATTATTACTTTTTACATAGTCGGCATAAATTAGCGGAGTTTAGGACGGTCAAAAAGTTTTGAGAATAAAAAATCCTAAAAAATCAGACGATCTTGCATCGGCCGTTGCCTGAATTTTAAATGGGGTTTTTTTCCTCATGAATGAAATAAAATTCAGATGTATTTATTTTCCTCCTCCTCATGAATGAAATACAATTCAGATGTATTTATTTTTTAGCTTCATGCTGAGGATTTACGATGTTCGAAATAGAGCGAGGTGAGTTGCATTCGTTGTGAACTTTTAATTAGTGCTATTAATAATAACTGTCCATGACAATAATTATTATTTCTAGATTTGAAGCTTTCGTGACTGCAAGGATTCATACTCTTTGGTTTTATTCGGTCAAGTCACGTAGATAAAATAAAATAATATAAAACAAAATAAAAATAAAATCACGACGTTTCGGAGGCAATACAAGCTTCCGTCTTCATGTGGAATAGTCACAGCAAAAGATATGTGTATAGATTGTTATTGCCACAACGACGGTGTTTTATTTTACACAACTCTATCCCTAACGAAGCGATTCGGCGTGGTTGTTCCACAAAACGGAGACTTCTATTCGGAAATCTCCACGTGCTAACAAGAGTCCGGCCAGCGGAAGTCACACATATATATCATAATTATATCTACTATTCGATATTATTCTAGATATGTGTACGAGGATCTTTCTCGGAGAGGTTCTTATCTATGTATACTGCATATAAATGTATACATAATTATATATGTATACGTGCTTTGTGAGAGTGTATATATAATTATACGTATAAACATGGTTTATATAGCATGTATAAGAGCCTCTCCAGAAAGTTCCTTCCCCAATCACATTCCATTGTCTCTGGAACTGTGATCATCTGAGATGGCCGGGAACCTCACGGGTCAGTGCACTGAGCTGGCACCGCTGAAAACGAGCTTCACAGCTCATCGGATTCCTTCAGTATAAAGATTCTGAGCCCGGGTCCGACTCGTCTCCGTGTTAAAGGCCACCTGCTGAGTCAAGCTGTGCTCCGCACAGGGACAGCTACACACGGTAGGGGGGGGGGGGCTTTTGGAAAGAAGACCACGTGTTCAGGAAGTTCAAAGCAACTCAATATTATTATCTGCACGCGCTGCACCAGTCCGATGATGAGTATACATGGCCCACGTGGCGTGACGTGGACGGGGCCGGTTGTGCAGTCTTTGACATTTAGCAGCCAGTGCACGTGCCATCGAGAATTATTTATGTTTAATGATTTATTTTTACTTGCTCAGCTTATTTCCATAAAAATGTTCATGTCCAATGAGGCCTTGGGGGCAGAATAATGGGGGAAATGTTGAGGTTATCGAGCATGGGGAGATTTATTTAAGAAATAAATACAGTCTGTATGTATACTGTATATGTGCATGCATGTTCTAATTTGTGCTCATTTATGCATGCGTTTCATTGCATTGCCAGAGTTCGTGATGTATCGAGTCTTAGTCGACAGTTATTGTCATGGTTGTTTTTAAAGGTTAATGCGGAAGTGACGAGGCTTCATAAATTACTCTTTTTTCATGAATTTAATTCCACCGCAAATGTTACTTTGCAAATAAAGTGAGCATGTCGACGTTATGAGTGTAACGCCCTTGTTGGAATTGCTGTGGATTAGTTACTCATTCACTTCGGCGTGCCACCGTGCATCAGTAAAATAATGCCGGGCTCACGGAATTGAAAAGTGACGCAGCGAAGCACGGAGAGATGTATGCTGGGAATAACGTTGAGAACAGAGAGAGGAATAAGTGGATCAGAGGACAAACGCAGGTTTAAAGGCATCGTCCTTCCGTTCCTCTCTTAAAAGCCCTCACCTCTTCTCTGTTGCCCCCTCCACTCCTTCTCGTCCCTCCCCTTCCCTTACGCCACGGTGGCGAGATGTTAGCTACCTCGCCAGGTAGACAGAAGGTCGTGGGATCGATGCCGACCCTGACGCCTGCTGCTACTGCTGTATATTTGGAGTTTGCGGTGTCTCTCTCCCCGTGGTTGCCAGGATTTTTATCCGGGTGCTCCGGTTTTTCCCTCCACATTTAGGATGGACATCACCACGCGTTTAGAGTGTTTGGCCGCTGTATGTCTCTACGCGATAAGCCGCTTAGTTGAGCTATCATTTGTGGCTAAGTCGCTTCTGAAAAAAGAGCTGTATAGCTCAGTGGGGCTTACCTGGTCAAATAAAACATCGTTTGGTTAACACGCAGCAGGAGGCTTTCGCGACCGATGTCATCCATAACAAATATTTTTTTGGGGTTTTGGGTTAGATATATATAAATGTGTCATTAAAACCCGCCACCACCCAACACAGCCAACACGTAGGGGTTGTCACGTAAACAGAACGTGCCAATTCGTCACTAGTACAGCACACCGGTGTGTTGGAGAGCCAAGCCACAGCATTTACAACCCGAGTACGACGTTTCGGCATGAATTACGACTAGCTTCATCAGGTGGCAGCCAGATTTGTGAAAACGTCTTCCTGTTGTTGGGTTAACCACTTGAAACGAGTGCAGCTACAGCTTGAGTAAGTTTATTCACTCTTATTAAGTTTATTCACTCTTATTAAGTAATTTACTCTTGATTTAAATCTTTCGTGACTGCAGGGATTCATATTCTTGTTTCCTTTCTACGTGACTTTACCGAAAGAACCAATAATATAATTCACTCTTATCGAGTAATTCACTCTTATTAAGTAAGTGTATTCACTCTTATTGATTATCTTCTTTGGTTCTTTCGGTAAAGTCACGTAGAATGAGAATAAAATAATAAATTGATAAAATAAAATAACACAATAATATTGATTAATTCACTCTTATCGAGTAATTCACTCTTATCGAGTAATTCACTCTTATTAAGTAAGCTTATTAACTCTTATTAAGTAATTCACTCTTATTATGTAATTCACTATTATTAAGTAATTCACTCTTATTAAGTAAGTAATTCACTCTTATTAAGTAATTCACTATTATTAAGTAATTCACTCTTATTAAGTAAGTAATTCACTCTTATCAAGTAATTCACTCTTATTAAGTAATTCACTCTCATTAAGTAATTCACTCTTATCAAGTAATTCACTCTTATTAAGTAAGTAATTCACTCTTATCAAGTAATTCACTTTTACTAAGTAATTCACTCTTATTAAGTAAATAAATCTCTCTTATTAAGTAAGTTTATTCACTCTTATTAAGTAAGTTTATTCACTCTTATTAAGTAAGTTTATTAACTTTTATTAAGTAATTTACTCTTATTAAGTAATTCGATCATTAGGTAATTCACTCTTATTACGCAATTCA